AGGACCTGGCTCGGAGCCCACTGTGCCTCTGACCTGGTTCCAGGGTCTGGCCCGCGCTGGGTGGGGGAGCCGACAGGTGTGTGTCCTTGGGCCAGGGTTGGGGGGGCCAACCCGCCCCCCAACAGGCCCCTCGCTGCCCCTGGGAAGCTGGACATCCACAGCTCCGGTGACAAAGGCCCATTTCACAGTGTGGGGGTGGGGGTCCAGTCTCGGGGGGCGGGGAGGAGGGGCGCCACAGGAGGGGGGCAAGGCTGGCCTGCTGAAGGCAGCTCCTGTGGCATTGGGGCCCCTGGGTAACAGATGTGCCCATTAATCACAGCTGGCAGCCGGGCAGGCAGAGCTCCGGGGTCCCAGGCAGCAGCCCCTGGGGGTCCTGGGAGGTGGCGGGGGTGGGGACAGGGCCCCAGACTGTCCTCCCTCTGTCCCTCCTCCTCCTCTTCCTCCAGCCCCGGCCGGGAGAAGCTGGGAGCCGGCAGGGTGCGTGGCCCCGTCCAGCCCCAGGACCGGCTGCTCTGTCACTCAGGGCTGACAGGCCCCCCATGCCCTGCTCCCAGCAGGAGACCAGCAATGGCGGCCTCCAGGCGGACGTGGGCCCAAGGAAGCGTGATGGCAGCGTGATGGCAGCGTGATGGCAGTGTGATGGAAGCATGATAAAAGCGTGATAAAAGCGTGATGGAAGCGTGATGGAAGCATGATGGAAGTGTGATGGCAGCGTGATGGCAGTGTGATAAAAGCGTAATGGAAGCGTGATAAAAGCATGATGGAAGCATGATAAAAGCGTGACCGGGCTGCCGCCCGCCCTGCCTGCTGTGAACCCCACGCACCCTGGCGCCTGGACCTCAGGCCACTCACTGAGCTCACGGGCCCAGAGGTGGGGACAAGACCCCGAAGGGGGACCTGTCCCCACTGCTGTCCCTCCTAAGGGCTCAGGTCTGACTGCCCACAGACGCGGGATGACCGGCGGCACTGGGCAGCCCCCAGGGTCACCTGGCCCACACCCCAGGTTCATGGGAACAAAGACTGAGCCTCGGACAGCCCCACAGGGAGTCTCACCCCATCTTCACTGCTGGGAACAGGCCAGGAGCCCCGCTGGCCACGCCCCCTCCACCCCAGCAGCAGGCGCCGCCCTCCTGGCCCCCTCCCTCCCATCCCATGGCCCCTGGGGCGCTGGGAGATGGGACTGCAGCCCACACCATCCCCCCCCTCTCCCCTCCGCTGCCCACACGGGAGCCGTCCACAGCGGGACCTCTCCCCACCCCCCGGGCCCTCCAGGCCGCACGCCATGGCCACCTGCCTCACCGGGAGCACCGAGGGCCCATGTCTCGGAGGAGGAGCCTTCGTGGCCCCTCCCCTGGCCTGGATGCCCCCTCCCCAGGCAAACAGGCAGGGGTGAGAGGTGGGTCCCCAGACCCCACCCAGCCAGGGGCTCAGAGGCGAGGGGGCCTTTGGGCATGGTTGTGCTGCCAAAAATTTATATAAATAAAAACTAGCAAATAAAGTTTCAAAACATTTCCTACAGAACTGAAATGCATAAGTATATCACAACTAGAGGCCTGGTGCACAAAATTCATGCATGGAGGAGGGGGAGGGGGTTTCCTCGGCCCGCCTGCACCCTCTCCAATCTGCGACCCCTTGGGGCATGTCCACCTACCAGGTTAGGCCCGATCCTAAGGGCCTAATCTGGCAGGCGGACATCCCTCTTGCAATCCAGGACAACTGGCTCCTAACCACTCAGCTGCCTGCCTGCCTGATCACCCCTAACCCCTTTGCCTGCCTGATCACCCCTACCTTGCTCCCCCTGCCTGCCTAATCACCCCTGCCTCCACTTGCCTGCCTGATTGCCCAAACTGCCCTCCCCTACTGGCCTGATTGCCCCTAACTGCCTCTACCTGCCTGCCTGATTGCTCCTGTCTTCCCCTGCCTGCCTGATTGCCCCTAACTGTCTTCCCCTGCTGGCCTGATTGCCCCTAACTGCCTCTACCTGCCTGCCTGATTGCCCCTAACTGCCTCTGCCTGCCTGCCTCATTGCCCCCAACTGCCCTTCCCTGCCAGCCTGATCTCACCCCTAACTGCCTCTGCCTCAGCCCCCACCACCATGGCTTTGTCTGGAAGGAAGATGGTGGGTCGACCAGTCTAATTAACATATTACCCTTTTAGTAGCATAGATATATGTTTATACCCTGTATATGAGACCCCTAGAACCACACAAAATGCAAAAAATTCATTGTGAATAACTCATTCTCGAATTGCCCCCCTTAAAAGTCAAATGGCCCCTCTGTGGGTGTGTGCTCACGTTGGGAGCCACTGACTCAGGGACACCCCTCTCTCCCCCTCTATCGTCTCGGGGGGCTGCCATTTCCGAGTCTGTGGCAGGGCCCTGACGGCTCTGGCAGTGACCCTGAGAGAACCCTCTCCCTTGGTGGCGGTGGGCCACGCCCAGGCGACACACCTGTGTCCTGGCTGGTCACCCCCCACCACCCGTCCCCTCTCAACAGTATCCTCTCACCCGCCGGCAGGCCTCCGTGGCTGAGCATCGACCTATGAACCAGGAAGTCATGGTTCGATTCTGGCAAGGGCACATGCCCAGTTGCGGGCTCCATCCCCAGTGGGGGGCTGCAGGAGGCAACGGAGCCATGATTCTCTGTCATCATTGATGTTTCTCTCTCCTATCCCTTCCTCTCTGACATCAATAACTACCTATTTTCTAAAGTGAGAAAGCACAGGGACAGACGGTGGGGAATAATGCCCAGGAGGTGCCCACTGCAGCCGCCGGGACACGGGAGACGCTGCAGGACAAAGACCCCGCTTCTCCCGTTCAGAAACATGCACGGCGGCCGCACAGGCCCCGAGAGCCAGCCGGCCTGGCGCTGGGGAGGCACAGGTGTGCACGGGGCAAGGGTGGTGTGGGCTTCCCTGTGGGAACTCAGGGGGGTAACCATAGTGTCCAGATTTTCTTCAAAACCACATGGGAGTGACGTGGCCCCTTATCAGTCATCCGTGATGCCCCATCCTCCCAGGCTTCCCCCCCAAAACCCACATGCCCCCCCCCATACCCTCCATCGTGTCCAGACCGCTCCTGGGATGAAGGGAAAGAGTCGCAGGATGAGATCATCCAAAGGACTTGTGTGCATGCATATACACATAACCAGTGACGCAAAACTCTGAGGGGTGAGGGCATGTATGGGAGGGGGGAGGGGGTCAATGGTAAGATATGTACACATATAATATCTTAATAATTTTTTTTTAAAAAAAGAGTCGCAGAGAGCCCGGGGCCTGTGGCTCAGTGAGGTCTGAAGGCTGTGGGGTGACCATGCCCCCTCTGCCCCCTGGAGGTCAGTTCACTCAGCCAAGTCCGACCTCACCCCCCACCCCCGTCACCATGGGTGCCCACAAGACATCTGCTCTCTGCCAGCCTCCCAAGGGTCCCAACGGCTTTGACCCCACCACTCCCTGCTGGAAGAAGGGGTGCCTTCGGCGCCTTAAAACAGCCTGGGGGATCCCCGCCCCCACCCCTGCCATAAACGAGGGCTTTGGGCCTAGACTTCAAAGCTGCCGGGGCCCAGGTCAAAGGTAGGGCCCGCCGGGCAATCTCTGCAGGGCCTCAGAGCTGGGGGGCCTCTGGGGGGCCTTCCTCCTGCCTGATCCTCTCCAGGCGGCTGGGGCGCAGGCACCGTGGCCAGGACCCTGCCACGGGGAGCCAGAGTCGTCCGGAAGTCCCCCATGACCCCGCAGGGTGGCCCTGGGGTCGCTCCCATGTGCACGCCGAGCAACTTGTCCAGGGTCACCCAGCAAGCGGCAGGAAGTGGCCTTCTGAACCCCAACCAGGGGGCAGGCTGCCAAGGGGGGCCACCTGGGGCCTGGGCCTGCACCTGGCCCGGGCCCAGATGCGGGGGAGGGGGGTCAGCAGCTTCCCCACCTCCACTTCCCAGCTGGGTGCAGCCCTGCCCAGACCCCCACCCGCTGCGGGCACCTGTGGGCGCCCAGGACCCTGCCACGCAGCACAGGGTCCTAAGAAGCCCACTCCCCGGGAAAACAGCGGGGAGCCCTGCATCACCCGGAGATGCAGACCCTGCCAGGGCCCTGTCCCTCCGGCCCCCGGTGTCCGGATCTCACCAGGTCCGAGAAGCCAGGTGGTGGGGTGAACCATCTTTATTGGGTTCTGCTGGACGGAGTCTTTGTATAAAAATAAGTTCATGGTGCCCTGTTCTCGGGCAGTTCGAGGTGACGTGGAAACAGCAGATGCTCTGTGACCTCATGCCCCGGCTCCCTCCAGGAAAACCACGGGCTGGTGCCCGGCCCAGGCCAGCGGGTGGCCTCAGGGTGGACAGTCAGGGTGTTCAGTCTGGGTCCCAGGACGCTGTCCCTCCGGGAGATCGGCCGGGACCACGCGGTCAGGTTGGGCGTCACGGCGTCACGGCGTCACGGCAGTGGTGTTACCCAGCGGGCAGCCGCGGGATGGAGGCCAGGCCACCCCTCTGGCTCCTCCGTGGGGACGGAGCTGCCCTGGGCCTCGGGGCTATGCCACCTGGAAGGAGGGGACAGGAGGCGGTCAGTGCGGGGCCAGCCCGGCCTCCACCCCCGAGATCCAGGCGGCGGTTCCGGCGGTTCGGTGGGTTCGGGAGCTCCGGGCTGTGGGAGCCATGAGGGGGGCCGGGAGCACCCGCTGGTGAGTCAGGCTCCGCCGCCGGCTCCTGTCCACGGGGCGCGATTTGCAATGCAAAGTCCCCCTCCCTGCGCCCTCACCACCGGGCCGCCGCCCGCACCCCCTCCCGCCCTCCCCCGCGGCGGCGGGAGGAAGTGTCGCAATCGCGGACCAACAGGCGCCGGTCGTGCTCGGGCTTGAACCAGCGGGGGATGGAGAGCGAGCGGTGCCGGAGCCATCGCCGGGACGGCGCGCGCGGCTGCCGCGCGGACAGGGCGCGATCCCGGGGCCGCCGGCCTCGCCCCCGCCCGCCCCGGGCCCCGATCCCCCTCCCGCCGCCCCCGGGTACCTCGGGGGGTCAGCAGCCGCCCAGCCAGACGGGGAAGCCGAGCAGCTCGCGCTCCGCAGGGCTCGGCGCGCCCTCGCCGCCGCTGCCGTCGGAGGAGCAGGCGGAGCGCGGGGAGCCGGGCTCCGAGCTGCCGCCGGAGGGCGGGGCGGCGGCGGGGGGCCCCCCGGAGGGCGCCAGGAGCCCCCCGTCCTGCTCGGCCAGCAGCCGCTGCAGCGCCCGGATGTACGCGGCGGCCGAGCGCAGCGTCTCCGCTTTGCTGAGCCTCCGGCCGCCGCGCGGCACGTGCTGCCGCAGCGCCTGGAAGCCCAGGTTCACCCGCCGCACGCGGCTGCGCTCCCGCGCGTTGCGCCGCGCCACGGCCGCCCCCGCCCCGGCCCCCGCGCCGCCCCCGGGCCCCTCCGGCCGCCGCCGCCGGCCGCAGCGCAGCAGCTCCGGGGACGCGGGGCGCCGGGCGGCGCTGCCCCCGGGGACGCCGAGCGCGGGGGCCGGGGTCCGGGGCGGCGCGCCGCCGCTCATCGCCCCGCACCCGCCGGCCCCGCGCGGCAGGAGGTGCGGCGGGGAAATGCGGTGCCAGAGGTGCGGGCGGAGGAACCCGGGCGCAGGGACTGCGGCCGCGCCCCGAGGGGAGGGGGCCGGGCTCTGCGCCCGCAGCCGCTGCCCGGGGTCCGCGCCGGGTCTCCGGGGCGCAGGGCGCGAGGCCCGGGAGGCGGCGGCCGTGGGCGCGGGGCGGGGGCGCTCGTGTCCCGCGTGCGGCCGGCGCTCCCGGTCCTCCCCGGCGGCGGGCGGCGGTTTTAAACGAACAGACAACCCTCCTCCGCCTCCCCCGCCTCCTCCCCGCCGCGCCCTCCGGCCGCTGCGCCCGCCCCCTCGCGCCAGCCAGCAGAGGCCGAGCCGGAGCGCGCCCCTCCGTCCCGGGGCCAGTTGGTCCCGGGGGCACGATCCGCGGGTCCTGGGGGCACGGTCCGTCCCGGGGCACAGCCCGCAGCTCCCGGGGCCCCCACCCCAGGTCCAGCCCGCAGGCCCCGGGGGCCCCCGCGCACAGGTGCTCAGTGCGCCTCCAGACGCAGCGCGCAGGGCCCGCCTGCGCCCCTCCATCTCCGGGCGCTGCCAGCCCCCCTCCCCCGGGGCGAACCCCCTCCCCGCCCAGAGCAGCCCGCGGTCCGCGGCGGCCGGGCCCCCACCTCCGGAGCAGCCGCGGGTCCCAGCGTGGCCCAGGCCACGGAGGAGGGGGGCGGAGCCCCGGAACCGGAGGCGCGAGACCCCCCCGGGCAGCACGCGCCGCCGCCCCGCCCGCCCGCCGGGCCAGAGGCGGGGCGCAGGGCCGGGCCAATGGCACACTGTCCGCCGGGCCCCGCGCCCCGCCCGGAGGGAGCGCAGACGCCGGGCGCGTGGCTCCGGAGCGTCTCTAACCGCTGCGCCCGCCCCGCCCCGCGGCCCGGAGCGCGCCTCCACTTGCACCTGCTGCCGCTCCTGCCACCCCGTCCCCCCGCCCCCCCCTCCCCCCCCCCCAGGGTGGGAGAGGGCCCTGCAGGCCTGCGGGAGCCCAGCGCTGGGGTGGGGAGTCCAGGTTCCCAAAGCGCCTTTCCATTGATGAGAGAGGAGAGAGAGAGAGAGAGAGAGAGAGAGAGAGAGAGAGAGAGAGAGTGAGAGAGAGAGAGAAACATCAATGGTGAGCCTGGCTGGTGTTGCTCAGTGGATAGAGCATCCCCTGCGGACTAAAGGGTCCCGGGTTCGAGTTCGGCCAAGGGCATGTGTCTTGGTTGCGGGCACATCCCCAGGAGGGGATGGGCAGGTGGCAGCTGATCCATGTTTCTCTCTCACCGATGTTTCTAAGGCTCTGTCCCTCTCCCTTCCTTTCTGTAAAAAAAAAAAAAATCAATAAAGTATATATTTTTAAAAAAACACACACACACATCAATGATGAGGGAGAATCATTGATCAGACCAGCCCGCAAGCCAAGCCCAGCACAGCCCAGGCCGTGACCTCCGGGCTGGTAAATGCCTTCCAATATTCAGGGGGAAAATAAGACCAGTTCTACATACACTCCTTCTTTACCGCGGAAAAGGGGCCTTGTCCCAGCGGGATGATTTTCCTCTAAGGTCAGGAGCAAGACAAGCTAAGCTGTCTCATCTCAGAACGTCTGCTTCACGCTGTTCCGGAGGCTTCAGCCGGAGCAAACGGTGAGAGAAAGCCCCAGCGGGGGCGGGGAAGGCCCAGGCCGGAAAGGAGGAGGAAAATGTGTCCTTAGTCACGGAAAATGTGATCACCTGTGAGGGAAATTGTAGAAACACAAGCTACAGTGGGTTTAGCAAGGTTGCAAGATACAAGATCAAAACGAACACACACAACTAAACACTAACTGGAAATTGAGCTTCAAAATGCCAGGCACAATAACATCAAACATATTAAACACTGCCGAGACCTCAGTGGATAGAGCATCGGCCTGCGGACTGAAAGGCCCCGGGTCCGATTCCGGTCAAGGGCATGTACCTTGGTTGTGGGCACATCCCCAGTGGGAAGTGTGCAGGAGGCAGCTGACGGATGTTTCTCTCTCATCAATGTTTCTAACTCTCTATCCCTCTCCCTTCCTCTCTGTAAAAAAAATCAATGAAATATATTTTAAAAATTTTAAAAACCATATAAAATGCTGGTGAGGTACCAGACAGCCTCCACAGGCCCAATCATCCCACCCTGGACCAAAGGCCCGACATCCCTCTGGGGCCCAGACCGTCCTTTTGGTCGCAGCCATTGTGGCGAGGACCAGAAGGCCATTCCTGGGACTCATACTGGCAGCCAGTGCCTGTTCCTTAATTGGAGGCCAAATAACCAGGCTAATCCTATCCACCTTTTCATCATCCCGAGGTCCCGCCCTTGCACCCAACCTCACTCCTGGGCCCATAGCGCCCCCTGGTGACCACACCATGCCTGAACACCCAGACCTACATCTGGGACTCAGACCTTGATGGCGGGGCCTAATTGGCCCAGCCAGGGCCCAGGCCACAAACCTGGAACACAGAACTGTATCCGGGGAAGAGATCTCTGTGTGTAACCCAAACAACCATTCCATAACCCGGATGCTCAGGGAGGTACCAGACCGCCCCGGAGGCTCAGACTTTCCTCCGGGGCCGAACTGCCCTCAGAGGACCAGCCCTCCACCTGGGGCTCACACCTACATCCGGGACCCAGACTGTCATGGCGGGGCCGGGAAGATTTTCCGGGGCCCCGGCCTCAAACACAGACTCCGGTCTTGTATCCGGCGTATAGTTCTCCGTCTGTAACCCAGACCATCATTCCATGCCCCAGATGTCCTTCTGAGACCCCAGACTGCCCCCCGTGGCACAGACCTCCCGCCCTGGCCCCAACTGCCCTCCAGGACCCACACCTCCATCTGGGGTCAGACCTGCAACCGGGCCCCAGACCTCTTTATTTTTTATTTTTATTTTTTTAATTTCTAACAGCGAGGAAGAGCGTGGAAAAGCGAGTTCGAAACATCAACCCGCTGCCTCCTGCACACCCACCCCTGGCGATGTGCCCGCACCAAAGTTGGACGGCGGACTTTGGCACAACCAGTCCCAACCGTCCCTACGTGGACTCGGTGTTCTCCCCCACGTGCACGCCCGCTATGCCGTGTCGCGGACACGCGAGGCCCGTGCGTTCCGACAACAGCCAGGACCGGCACGGCGCCCGCACGGCCACGGGCTCCGTTGGATAGAACGGCTCCTCGCCGCTCTCCTCTCCCGTGACGACGGGCAGATACTCCGGCCGTGAGGGGAGGCAGGGACGGGACGCCGTGGGCGGCAGGAGAGCGCTTTGACCTCTGACCCCGGGGACGGCCAGCATCGCCGCTCTCCTGCTCCAGGGCCTCGGCCTGAGGGGCCTGAGCGGGCGTCGGACATCTCCGGCAGAGGGGGCGCCGCAGAGACGGCTGCTGGGAGCCAGCGAGGGGGGCCGGTGGAGGGGGGGGGCGTCTGACGGACTTGGGTGGGGAAGCCTGAGAACAGGTTGTTGGGGGGGAGGGGTGCCCCGGTTCTGGGTGGCGGAGTGAGCCTGGTGTGGCGCCCGCCGCTCTGATACGCCAGCAGCCCTGGTGCCTCACAGGCGGGAACGGCCGGGATTCCGTCCCGGTGCTCCACATGGCGAGCTGTGTGCGTGTGCGTGTGCGTGTGCATGTGCGTTGTTCATTCTGTGATTTGGCACCTCTTGTTGCTGGACCATGGCCACCCTGGCCGATGGAAACACCTCAAAGTGCAGTCACCCATGGGCGCCCCAACAGTGAGACTGTGAGCAGCACTGGGACCCAGACACCGTCCTTCCCGCCAACTAGGAACGGCGGGGCCAGACGTTGACGCCAGGACGTGTGACAGGGACACGGGCACGACACCCAGCCGGTCAGGACTGGCCTGCTGTGAACAGTGGCCAGGCCCTGACCAGGTGTCCCTGGGTTTCCCCTGGGTCCTCTGTCCCCGGACCCCCCGCGACCCTGGGAGGTCATCTTTGCAAAGTGCGGAGCGCACAGTAGGTGCTCAGCACACAATAGTGCTGGCGCCCTCTGCTCCTCACCCACCTCCTCCCTGGGTCCTTGTGGCCACGCCTGGAGCAAGGCTGTGGGGCTGGGCTGGCCTCTGATGCCTGCAGAGCCTGGTGCCCTGGGCCAGGGCTGGCAGCTGGGGGCAGAGCCTGCAGCTCCTCCCCTTCCTGCCCGCCCGTCTTTGGGCAGCTCAGTCCTCAGGGTGTCGACAGAGGGGCGGCCCCTCTCCCTCCTGGGAGGGCAGCTGCGTCTGAGGGCCCGCCCACTGAAACCCCAGGGAAGGGAGGGGAGGGGAAGGGAGAGGAGGGGAGAGGACAGGGGAGCAGGGGGAACAGAGAAGAGGCGACCGCCATGGGCCCTCGGCGTCGAGTCAGGGTGGCCAAATGCCAAATGCTGGTGACCAGCCTCTTTGTCCTGGTAACAGGCGGTTGGGTGGGAGGGGGCCTCAGGGAAGAGGGTGGTGCCGTGTGACTAGGCCTCCAGCCCATGGACGCACCTGGGTCCCTGGTGGTGGGCGCCCAGGGGTGACCATTGGGGTGGCGTCTGACCTCCCCCACCCCCCACTGGACAGCCAGACGCCTGGAGGAGCCTGGGGTGGCAGGTGCACTGGGTGAGGGGGAGAGTGACGCCGGGGGGTGCTGTCACAGGGGGGACTGGGGCTGGGGCTGGGGGCCCACTTCCTGCTGTGCAGAGAGAGCCCAGGCCCTGTGTGTGTGTGTGTGTGTGTGTGTGTCAGGGGGTCTGTGTGTGTGTGTCGGGGGGGTCTGTGTGTGTTGGGGGGTCTGTGTGTGTGTTGGGGGGTCTGTCTGTGTGTGTCAGGGGGTCTGTATGTGTTGGGGGTCTGTGTGTGGGGGTCATGGGGTCTGTGTGTGTCGGGGGGTCTGTGTGTGTGTGTTGGGGGTCTGTGTGTGGGGGGTCATGGGGTCTGTGTGTGTCGGGGGGTCTGTGTGTGTCAGGGGGTCTGTATGTGTTGGGGGGTCTGTGTGTGGGGGTCAGGGGGTCTGTGTGTGTGTCGGGGGGTCTGTGTATGTTGGGGGTCTGTATGTGTTGTGGGGTCTGTGTGTGTGTGTCGGGGGTCTGTGTGTGTCTGAGTGTTGGGGTGCTTGTGTTGGGGGTATCTGTGTGTGTCAGGGGGTGAGGGGGTACCTGGGCACAGGCCTCCCTGAGACCACCAGGGGACCGCCCAGAGCTGAGCCTCTCCGGAGACCAGGAGGCTGGAGGGAGCCCCACTCTGGCTCTGTCCCCCCAGCTGCTGGGCCTCCTCGTGGCCACCATGGCGGCTCTCACCTACTACGGAGCCCACTTTGCCGTCTTCAGCCGTGTGTCCCCCGAGGAGTCCCCCTACCCAGCCCTGCACCGCTGGGGTGAGTGAGGCCGGGGGGTGGGCCGGGACAGGGAGGGGGCCGGCTGCAGTGCCCGGGGGTGGGGGTCCCCGCAGAGGGTGTGAGGTCTCTCCAGGGCACCCGGAGGGGGTGGGGGACAGACACCGAGGCCCTCGGGCTGGAGACGGCCCCGCCCCAGGCCTGCGCTCCGAGGCCCCACGCTTTAGCCTCAATCCTGAGCCCCCGCCTCCTTGCAGGAAGCCTGGGCCTGGACTGATAAGCGGGCAGCCCACGTGGCACCTGCTGCTGGGGGGGTGCCTGTGGCTCCAGAGGCTCCAGCCGGGGGGCAGGAAGCAGAGGTGGGGGCAGGGCCGGCCTCCCTCCCTCGGCCCGGCTGAGTGTGGGGCCGGCTGTGGCAGGAGGCACCTCCCTCCTGATGGGGAGACGCGGCTCCCCGTCCAGCACCCCCCCACCCATTTGGGCGGATTTCACCCCCGGCTCTGTGCACGCGGCACCTGACCCTCCTCTCTGCACCCAGCCTTCTCCGCAGGGATCAGCCTGGCCGGGCTCCTCACCCTGGGCGCCCTGCTGAGCGCCGCAGCCACTGTGCGGGAGGCCGGGGGCCTCATGGCCGGGGTGAGTCCTCCAGCCCCGCCCAGCCCAGCCGCACCCCAGCCCCAGCCCCAGCCCCCAGCCCCAGCCACAGCCCAGCCCCCAGCCCAGCCCCAGCCCCAGCCCAGCCCCAGCCCCCAGCCCCAGCCCAGCCCCAGCCCCAGCCCCAGCCCCCGGCCCAGCCCCAGCCCCAGCCCAGCCCCCAGCCCCAGCCCCAGCCCCAGTCACAGCCCCCCAGCCCCAGCCCCAGCCCCAGCCACAGCCTCAGCCCCAGCCCCAGCCCAGCCCCCAGCCCCAGCCCAGCCCCAGCCCAGCCCCCAGCCCAGCCCCAGCCCCAGCCCAGCCCCCCAGCCCCAGCCCCAGTCACAGCCACAGCCTCAGCCCCAGCCCCAGCCCAGCCTCAGCCCCAGCCCCACCCCCCCAGCCCCAGCCTCAGCCCCAGCCCCAGCCCCAGCCCCCCAGCCCCCAGCCCCAGCCCCAGCCCCCCAGCCCCCAGCCCCAGCCCCAGCCCCAGCCCCAGCCCAGCCCCAGCCCCAGGTGGCAATCGGGATGTCAGGCGGGTAAGCCCAAGGAGCCTGCCTCTCCCCACAGAGGCCTGACAGAAGCAGAGACTGGAGGATGTGAGCCCCACAGGGCCACTCCCCCTGACAAGGCAGGCCCTGCCCCCTAGACACAGGCAGGCCCCGCCCCCTAGACACAGGCAGGCCCCGGCCCCTAGACACAGGCAGGCCCTGCCCCCTAGACACAGGCAGGCCCTGCCCCCTAGACACAGGCAGGCCCCGCCCCCTAGACACAGGCAGGCCACTCCCCCTGACACAGGCAGGCCCCGCCCCCTAGACACAGGCAGGCCACTCCCCCTGACACAGGCAGGCCCCGCCTCCTAGACACAGGCAGGCCCCTCCCCCTAGACACAGGCAGGCCCTGCCCCCTAGATACAGGCAGGCCCCGCCCCCTAGACACAGGCAGGCCACTCCCCCTGACACAGGCAGGCCCGCCCCCTAGACACAGGCAGGCCCGCCCCCTAGACACAGGCAGGCCCGCCCCCTGACACAGGCAGGCCCCGCCCCCTAGACACAGGCAGGCCCCGCCCCCTGGACACAGGCAGGCCCCGCCCCCTAGACCAAAGCCAGGACCCCCTGCCCAGGCCAAGAAGGACCCTCCACCCAAACCAGCCAGGGTCCCTCCGTGGGCCAGCCCCCTGCCCTCCTTCAGGGCGTCACCTGGGCCCACGGGAGGCAGAGCTGGCCGCCAGGCCTGGGCGCCCTTCCCCAGGGCCCGGGAGAGTCCGGTTCCCTTACGAAGGCGGGGTTCGGCGCTTCCTCTCCTGGTGCAGGAGGCCCGGGAGGCCTTCACCTGCGGCCTGGGTCTGAGTGGCCGCCCTGGGTGGCTGCACCCCGGCTCCTCCTGAGCCCCACCCGCCTGGGCAGCTCTCTGCAGGGCCTCCCAGCCTACCCCCAGCCCCCCGTCAGTCCCCCACCTCCCAGCCCCCGCCCCCAGGCCCCTGCCCCCCGCCCCCCAGCCCCCAAGGCCCCAAACCTGCCCACCAGCCCCCACAGACCTGTGCCAGCTCAGGATCCCCCTTCCCCCTGCTCCCCCAGCCACCACCTGGTGCCTGTTCAGTGCTCGGGGTACATGGGATCCAGCCCCCCATTCCAGCCAGGAGGCCCCTGCGTTGCTGCGGAAGCCCGTGGGCGGGGGAGGGGCTGTGCTTGCCGGGGCGGTCCGGCCCCAGGGCGATCAGGCCCCAGGGCGGTCCGGGCTCTTGCCCTGCCTGTGCCATCCATGTCTGTGGAGTGGCTCCGGGTGCAACCTTCTGGGACAGGGACAGGGACAGGGTCACCCCCTTGAGCTGCAGCCCAGGCCCCACCGGCAGAGCCGGGCCGGGCCGGGCGGCTGGGTGTCCACCCTCACTCCGGCCATGCAGAGCCCAGGCAGCGATGTTCAGCCTAGGCACCCGGTGCCCAGCGAGGAATCTAAGACCGGCCGCATCGGGTCACCAGGGGCGCGGCCTCTGTCCCTAGGCTGTCAGATACGAAATAAAAACGACAGCGGTGCCCCAGCCGGTGGACGGAGCAGCGGCCTGCGGACTAAAGGGTCCCGGGTTCGATTCCGGCCAGGGACACGTGCCGACGCTCTACCCACTGAGCCAGCCCGGCCAGGGCTGAACAAAGCACTTTTGATGTTTCTCTTGAAATTATCATGTTTTCTTTGATTACCAAATCCATAGTATCAACCGGTGTCCGCACTATTAACCGGTGAACCTAGTTTAAAAAAAAGACAGTGGCCGAGACAACAGCCGTCAGGTGTGAAAGAGTCAGAATTACACCTTGTCAGATCGGCAAAACAGTATTTTTTGGTGTGCCGCAGGATTTTATTACTTTCATGTGCCGTGAGGGGAAAATCGCTGACCGAATCGCCGAGCCGGGTGCTGGAGGGAGGGGAGCCAGCCAGAGGGGAGCCCCCAGGTGAGGGGCAGCCACCAGGGCGCTCAGGAGGGCAGGCTGCCCGCAGCGGGCAGAGCAGGTGTGGACTCCAGGGGAGGAGGCCTGCAGAGGCCAGCAGCGGCCACCAGGGGGCGATGTGGTGCTGGCTTAAGGCATAAACCAGGCTGCTTGTCTGGGGGCTCAGGCCTGTTCTTAGCCAGGCGCCAGGGTGTGCCCGGCTTCCCTGACCTCTGCAGGCAGCAGGGCTGTTCCGGGGGGTTGTCCCATCCCTGCCTGCGGGCTCCCAGTCTGGTCCGTGGGTGCTGGACGCCCTGGCTCTCAGATACCTGCTCACCAAGGTGCATGTTGTATCTGGCCTGTGTGTGTGTGTGTGTGTGCGCGCGCGCGTGCTTGTGTGTGTTGTGTCTGGAGCGTGTGTGCACGTGTGCCTGTAAGCATATATGAAGCAGCTGGGGAGCCGGGAGATCTTTCCCAAAGTGACAGCGCCCGGCGGCCCCCCTTCCTGCCCCGTCTCCCCTCCTCCCCCCAGTGGCCTCCGGGACAGGAAACACGAGCTGCAGGCTGGGCCCGGGCCTGGGAGGGCCGGAGGGAGCCATGTCCACGTGTTTTGGGCTTTTGTTCAGAACCAGGAGGAGGAGGACGCCCTGGCCACACCAGCAGGCCGAGCCCTAGGAGGCCTCCGGGGCCCACGGGTCCACAGGATCCTCAGCCCCGGCCCCTCCGGCGGGTGGTGGGAGCCGTGGGTGGGGTGCTCTCTGGGAGGAAATGCCGCTCCTCTGAGCTGGCTCAGGTCCCCAGCCCGGGAGGCAGCCTGGAGCGATGGGTTCCAGATGGGGAAGGCGGCCCTCAGCCAGCTGGGAGGAGGATGCGGCAGAGGGAGGAGGAGGAGGGAGAGGGAAGAGGAGGGAGAGGGAGGAGGAGGAGGAAGAGGAGGAGGAGGAGAAGGGAGAGGGAGGAGGAGGGAGAGGGAGGAGGAGGAGGAGGGAGAGGAAGAGGGAGGGGGAGGGAGGAGGAGGAGGGAGAGGGAGGAGGAGGAGGAGGAGGGAGAGGAAGAGGGAGGGGGAGGGAGGAGGAGGAGGAGGGAGAGGGAGGAGGAGGAGGAGGGAGAGGAAGAGGGAGGGGGAGGAGGAGGGAGAGGGAGGAGGAGGAGGAAAAGGAGGAGGAGGACGAGGAGGGAGGAGGAGGGAGAGGGAGGAGGAGGAGAGCAGAAGGGAGGAGGAATAGAAGGAGGAAGGAGAGAGGGGCAGAGAGAGAGGGAGAGGAAGGGAGAGGAGAGGGAAGAGGGGAGGAGGAGGAGAACAGGGAGGGGGGAGAAGGAGAAGGAGCGGGGAGGAGAAGGCGCCCTCAAGGCCGCCTGAGACGCAGGGAAGAGGGGGGCCCTGCGCCCACACTAGAGTTTGGGGGCTGATGGGTGGTCCACCCTCTCACAGAGCCCCCCAACACACACACACACACGCACACATGCACACAAACACACGCGTGCACATACGCACACACGCACATAAACACACAGTGCGCACACACACAAACACACGGTGCACACACGCACACACACTCAGCTGTTTCTCTGCCCGCCTGCCAGGCCGGGTCTGTCTGTCTGCGTCGCAGGCACCTCTGCGGTCAGTTGGCCACGCCTCTGGTGTCCCTCCACACGAGGCGCAGCGTGCCCGGCTGTGGGCCTCCCGAGGGAGGGGTGCCGTCAGCCCGGCAGCCACTCCCTGCGCCCTCCCTCGGGGTGGGGGCGAGTGACCCGCAGACATGGGGTGTGGTCAGTGGCGGACCCTCTGCACTGCCCCCTGAAGAACTCGGGGCACCAGTGCCTTGTGGGGAGGGTCCCCGATGAGCAGTGGCTTTTGCATGCTCAGAGCCTGACTGCGAGAGAGAGAGAGAGAGAGAGAGAGAGAGAGAGAGAGAGAGAGAGAGGGGCAGGGAGGGAGGGAGGCGGGCGGACCCAGCTCTCCAGGGGCTGCCGCCGCCTCCAACATGGGGGCCCGGCCGCCGGGGTGAGAGTGCGGGGACCGGGCCCGCGGCCACGGGGAGCAGCGGGTGTGACAAAGGGAGGGTGTGACCTGGTTGCCCCCCCCCCGGGTCCCCCTGGCCTGAGCTGCCCCCTCCTGAGGGTTGGGGCCCAGTGAGCCCAGCTGCAAAGGTTTCCAAAAACAAGCCAGCCCAGTGGGCGGGGCTCCGGGGCTGAGCCTTGAACCATGAACCAGGAGGCCACGGTTCGATTCCCCGTCAGGACACAGGCCCGGGCTGTGGCTCCATCCCCAGTGTGGGACGTGCAGGAGGCAGCCGGTCCATGACTCTCATCATGGATGTCTCTCCCTCTCCCTGTCCATTCCTCTCTGAAACCAATAAAGATTTATTTAAACAAACAAACAAAAGATAAGCCAGCTGTCCCTGCCGAGGCCCGGCCACAGCAAGGGGCACGTCGTCCCAGGTCCAGGGTCAATTAGGGGCAGGGGCAGGGTTAGAGTCAGGGTTAGGTCAGGGTCAGGATTAGGGTCAGGGTCAGGGTCAGGGTTAGGTCAAGGTCAGGGTCAGGGTCAGGGTTAGGTCAGGGTCAGGGTCAGGGTTAGATCAGGGTCAGAGTCAGGGTTAGGGTCAGGGTTAGGTCAGGGTCAGAGTCGGGGTCAGGGTCAGGGTTAGGTCAAGGTCAGGGTCAGGGTTAGGTCAGGGTCAGAGTCAGGGTTAGGGTCAGGGTCAGGGTTAGGTCAGGGTCAGGGTTAGGTCAGGGTCAGAGTCGGGGTCAGGGTCAGGGTTAGGTCAGGGTCAGAGTCGGGGTTAGGGTCAGTGTCAGGGTCAGGGTTAGGTCAGGGTCAGGGTCAGGGTTAGGTCAGGGTCAGGGTCGGGGTCAGGGTCAGGGTTAGGTCAGGGTCAGAGTTAGGTCAGGGTCAGAGTCGGGGTCAGGGTCAGGGTCAGGGCCCTCCCGGGGAGTTGCAGTGGGCTGGTCTGTCATGCCAGGCATCCCCTCCGTCCTCGGGCCAGGAGGTGGACGGCTGGGCACTGCCAGGGACAGGCCCTGGGAGCCACCATAGCAACAGCAGCGGCTCCGGAGGGCCTGCCCCGGCGTGGGGGGCGTGGGGGCGTGGGGGCGTGGGGGCGTGGGGGCGTGGGGGCGCAGGCTCCTGACCCCGTGCCCCTCTCCCAGGGCTTTCTGTGCTTTGCGCTGGTGTTCTGTGCCCTGGTGCAGGGCGCCTTCTGGAGCCTGCGCCACCCCACCCAGGTGAGTGCCGCCCACGCCGGGCGGAGGCCAGGCGCCCCCCGCAGTCGCTGAGGAGGGGGGGCCGGTGGGGGCCATGGGGGTGGGGTGGGGACAGCCCCTCCCAGGAGGAGGGGGGCTGGTACAGGCCTCGGACCCCCCCCCACGAGCGCCCCATTCCCCCCCCTTCCTTGCTCTGCTCGCCCTCAGAAACCGGCCTGTCTCCCCGCGGGCTCCGTGGAGTCTACGAGGCGGCGTGGCCAGGCCTGGGGTTTGGTCCGGGTTAGAGTCAGGGTCAGGCTCAGGGTTTGGCGGTCACCCCGTCTGCGGGGGGGGGGGGCAGGCCAAGGTGTGGGGAGCTCGCCCCGGCAGAGCCCAGGGCTCATTGCCCAGGTCAACGCCTCTTTCCCCTCCAGCCCAAGGGTCTCCCCAGACGGCCTGCCCCCCTGACCCCCCCGCAGCACTCGGGGCACGAGCTGTGACCAGATCGGGAAAAGGACCCCCCCCCCCCCGTTCTGGAGGGCCTCGAAGCCCCCACAGGCGGCCCGGGCTCACGGGGGACAGGCCAGCGTCTTGCTCGGACCCACGCTGGGGCTCATGTCACCCATTCCCCCAGCTGCGGTCCGGGTCACTGCGTGGGTGGTCCCTTCCAGACAGCTGCCAGGGCGCCAGGGCCCCGCCCTTCTCCCGGGGTGCCCCAGCCCTCCCCCCGCTTCTCTCCCACTCCCTGTCTCAGCCCCGGGGGAGTCCCGGCTGCAGGGACCGGCACCGGCCGCCGTCCAGCTGGGGCCCGGCCAGCACCGGGAGGTGAGAGCTGAGGGCTCCCAGCTGGGCCTCGTCCCCGTCCCTCCCACTTCCCTCCACCATCCCCCAATCCGTCCTGGTCTGGCCACGCTCTGACCCACACGGGGGCACCTTGGGCCAAGGTGGCGTGGGTGGAGGAACTGGCTTCGGAATCCGAGTCGGCCTCCCAATCAGGGTAGGGGCTGCTCACTCCCTTCGGGGACGTTCCCTCATCTGTGTACGAGGAACAAAGAGATCCCCCCCCCCCACACACACACACACCGTAACTGCTGCACTGCGGAATGACAGTGCCAGTGCGGGCACTGGGTGGCCCCGATCAGTCCTCCCTCTTACAGTACTGCGGTGTTTGGTGCCAGGGCATGGGCAGGCCAAGCCTCGCTCCTGTGCCCAACTAGCAACCTGACAGGCCTCGTGGCCTCAGGACAAGCCAGGCCAAACAGGTCCAGCAGACTCTTATGCCCACAAGGTCCTATGAGCAGGGATTCTCTCTGCTCCGGGGATTTCAGAGCCTAGACCTAACCCTAACAATTAACACTAACCCTAACCCTAGCCTAACCATAACCCTAACACCTGACCTAACCCAACCCTAACCCTAACCCTAACCCTAACCCTAACCATAACCCTAACACCTGACCAAACCCAACCCTAACCCTAACCCCAGCACTAACCCTAACCCTAACTCTAACCCTAACCCTAACCCTAATCCTATCCCTACCCCTACCCTAACCCTAGCCCTAACCCCAACCCTAACCTACACCTAACCCTAGCCCTATCCTAACCCTATCCCTAACCCTAACCCTAACCCTAACCCTAACCCTACCCTAACCCTAACCCCAGCAATAACCCTAACCCTAACCCTAACCCTAGCCTTAACCCTAACCCTAGCCCTAACCCTAGCACTAACCCTAACCCTAACCCTAACCCTTCCCTAACCCTAACCCCAGCACTAACCCTATCCCTATCCCTACCCCTACCCTAACCCTAACCCTAGCCCTAACCCCAAACCTACCCTAACCCTAACCCTAGCCCTATCCTAACCCTATCCCTAACCCTAACCCTAACCCTAACCCCAGCAATAACCCTAACCCTAACCCTAGCCTTAACCCTAACCCTAGCCTTAACCCTAACCCTAGCCTTAACCCTAACCCTAGCCCTAACCCTAACCCCAACCCTAACCCTAACCCTACCCTAACCCTAACCCCAGCACTAACCCTATCCCTACCCCTACCCTAACCCTAACCCTAGCCCTAACCCTATCCCTACCCCTACCCTAACCCTAACCCTAGCCCTAGCCCTAGCCCTATCCCTACCCCTACCCCTACCCTAACCCTAGCCCTAGCCCTAATCCTAGCCCTAACCCTAGCCTTAACCCTAACCCCAACCCTAACCCTAACCCTACCCTAACCCTAACCCCAGCACTAACCCTATCCCTACCCCTACCCTAACCCTAGCCCTAGCCCTAATCCTAGCCTTAACCCTAACCCTATCCCTAACCCCAACCCTAACCTTAACCCCCGTCCCCCCACACCCCCCTAAGGGCCCCTAACGTATCCTGGGGAAAGGTCAGGCGTGCTGGTGCAGGGCCACCCCCAGACAGGAAACCCCAGCACCGGGGAGGGGCGGCCACGCTTCCAGTGGCCCCGAAGCCAGGCTGCTGCCCAGCCGTGGGGGAAGGGCCTGGCTGGCGCCCAGAGCTGGAGGCCCCTGGGGACGGTGGCCGTGCAAGGACTGCGAAACCAGAAGGCGATTAATTACGCCGCCGGCCGCAGCCGGGAGCCGCAGCCGGGAGCCGCAGCCGGGGAGAGAGCCCAGGTCCCCAGGCGCTAGGAGGTGAACTGGCTGAATTATTCATTGGAGACTGAGCTCAGCTGTCCTCAGCCGGGTCTGCCCCGCCCCCCCCTCAAGGCTACTCTTCTCCCGACTGTCCGTGGGGCAGGGAGGACTGGGGCCCCGTGAGAGGGTCTGCAGAGCCCCCCGCAGCCCCCTGAGACCTCCCCACACAGGTTTGCCGAAGGGGTTGGGGCACAGCACGGAGCTGCCACGCCCCAGCCGAGGCTGGGAAGGGGGAGCGGACGCCCCTGGCACCTGCTCTGAGCTGAGGACGCATCCTGAGGGCACCCTGGGGCTCTGGGAGAGGAGCTTAAGGGGTGACCCGAGGGAGCACCCAGATGTGGGGACCTGCGCCTCCACAGCCCCCGGGCGCGGGATGGGGGCGGATGCCCAGGCCTGCAGGGAGAGCCCAGCCTGGCCCCCCGACCGGCCGGGGCCTGTGCAGGGCGTGGGATGGACACTCCACACAGCCTGTCGTCCCTGCTGGAGTGTGACCGGGGCACGCGGCCCCGGGCCCGGCCTCGTGGGCAGAGTGGTGGAGGCGAGCAGGGGCGGTGTCCCTGCTGGCTTCCCGGTCACGGCCACCTGCCCCGCCACCCAGGCCAGTTCCACCAGGGCCCATCGCACCGGGAGCTCCTCCCAGAGGACGCAGAGACCCGGCCGGTCCCCACCCTCAGTTCCCTGGGAGACAGGAGTCAGGGCCCCGGCCAGGCCCTCCAGCCCAGGGCTCTGCCCCTCCCGGCGGAGTGGGGGGAAGGCAGCGGCCGGGTCCGAGTTTGGGACGACGCAGAGCGTGTCACACGAGGAAGGTTAATTAGCGCCGGAGCCGTGATCCGGACGGAAGTCCACCTGGTTCCTACTGGGCTTCGGGGAAGGCTGGTCTGGACAGCCCCACCGCCCGCCGCCTGGCTGCCCAGCCCTCCAGGGGGTGGGGGGCTGCCCCTCCTTCCCAAAGGGCGGATGTTAGTGGCCGGATCTGGCACGGGGGCTCCGTTCACCCCAGCCCTTCGGGGCACCCTGTGTCCCAGCTCAGCGTGGCGTGGGGTGCAGGGCGTGGGATGGGGGACTCAGGGCTCTGCGGTGGGAAGGGAGGCCTCAGAGGGCAGGGGAACTCAGAGACCGGCACCTGGGGCAATCACGGAAGTCTTCCTGAAAGAGGCAAGACTCCAGTGCGTCTCTGAAGGAATATTGTGGCCAGGGGGCGGCAGTCTGTTTGGGGGTGTCAGGGGGCCGGGGCTTACTGGCCCGGAGCTGGCCCCGTGGGCCCGTGGCCTCCCCGGCCAGGAGCCGGGCTGCTTTCGGGGATTCCTGAGAGGCCCGGACGTCCTGGGGAAATGCCCAGGGCACCCTCACGCCCGGCCACTGCCCAGGCCCGGCCCTGCCTGCCCCAGGCCCGTGGCCACGGACAGAAGCAGAGGACACCCCTTGGCCGGCCCTCTGAGCTCCCCAAGCCCGGAGCTGGGGTCTCTGGCTCATCCTTTGGGGCCCTGGGAGCAGCAGTGGCACTGACAGCCGATCTCGGGGTGCAGGAGGTCCCCACCACTGAAGTCTGGGGGAAGCACTGTGACCGGGGACCCAGGAGAGTCGGGGAGCTGTCCTGGCGGAGGGAGACGGAGGGGAGGGGCCGGCCTGCTCTCAAAGAGACCCTCTGGTGCAGGTGGAGGACGCCCTGCTGGACACCTACGACCTGGTGTTCGACCGGGCGGTGACCAGCCCGTCCGCCCGGCGGCAGGAGCTGGCGGCCATCCACGACACGGTGAGCGCCGCTGGGCCCATCGCTCCCCGTGCGGCCCGGCAGGGGCTGAGCCGGGGCCCCAGCCACAGGCCCCGGATCTGCTGCAGGGACAGGGGTTCAGGCCTCCTCCCTGGGCCCGGGCAGGGCCGCCGCGGACTCAGTGGGTCCAGAACAGAGTGCAAGGCCCCTGTCCACGAGCGATGGAGGGTCGCAGGCCTGTGAGGCCGGCCCTGACGTGGCAGTTGTGGCCCCCCAGGCAGGCGGGTGGCGTTAGGGGCCCTCCTGTGCCCTGGGAAGCCCTGAGTGGTGGGGGCCAGGCTGCCCAGTGCCCGGTGCCCCCCCAGGCAGTGGCCCTGAGCCCTGTCCGGTCTCTGCCTGGCCCGCCTCGTCAGCTGCTCTCTGTGCCTCGGTTTCCCATCTTTGCACCGGAACCCGGGTCCTGAGCCCCGTCTGTCCCTGCAGTTCCTGTGCTGTGGGAAGAGCTCCCCTCCCGGCCTCCCGGGCGGCGTGGAGGCCGGCCTGTGCCCGGGGCCACAGGCGGCCACGCAGGTGAGCGGTGCTCACCCGACCAGCGCCCAGCGCCTCTGCCCCCTCTGCCTCCCTCGGCCCGGGGGCCAGCCTGCAGGCTCAGAGGGGAGGAGGGGGAGGTGCAGGGGGGCAGGGGGCCTGCAGGCTCCAGGAGGCTGTGCAGGGGGAGGAGGTGCAGGGGAGGGGGGGCCTGCAGGCTCAGAGGGGAGGAGTGGGAGGAGGTGCAGGGGAGGGGGGGCCTGCAGGCTCAGAGGGGAGGAGGAGGAGGAGGAGGTGCAGGGGGGCGGGGTGCCTGCAGGCTCAGAGGGGAGGAGGGGGAGGAGGTGCAGGGGAGGGGGGGGCTGCAGGCTCAGAGGGGAGGAGGGGAGGAGGCGCAGGGGGGCGGGGGGGGGGCTGCAGGCTCAGAGGGGAGGAGGTGCAGGGGGGGGGGGCTGCAGGCTCAGAGGGGAGGAGGTGCAGGGGGGGGGGCTGCAGGCTCAGAGGGGAGGAGGTAGAGGAGGTGCAGGGGGGGCAGGGGGCCTGCAGGCTCGGGAGGCTGTGCAGGGGGAGGAGGTGCAGGGGGGCGGGGTGGGCTGCAGGCTCAGAGGGGAGGAGGGGAGGAGGCGCAGGGCGGGGCCTGCAGGCTCCGGAGGCTGAGGAGGGAGAGGAGGTGCAGGGGGGTGGGCGGCGTGCTGACCCCGCACAGGCCGTCCTCCGCTGGACTGGCCGCGGGCCCGGGCTCCATCACGCCCTCATTCCTCCGCTCCCAGCTGGCAGGCTCCGGGCCAGGCCCCGAGCCAGGCGCCAGGCCCGCCCTCGGAAGCCTCCGGAGGCGCGGGGGCGGAGGGGATCAGGGCCGAGGGTGCAGAGCAGAGGGTCAGCCTTGGGGGGCGGGAGGGGGACGCAGGCATCCTGAGGGCCCCGGGCATTCCTCGGAGGCGGCCTGCCCGCCGAGGGCCAGCTGCACCCACGGCTGCAGAGGCTCCAGGGAGACAGAGCAGGAGCCCCGCCTTCCCTGAGCCCAGAGTGGGCCTGGCACCCGCCCCCGCTGCCTCGGCCTCTCGCCCGGCCCCTCCAGGAAACAAATCCTCCCCATGGCTCCTCCTGGCCGCCCTCCAGGACACAGACAGGAAGATGCAGAGGGCAGGGCCAGGGAGGAGGCGGCCTGCCGGGAGGGGCAGGGCTGAGGGCCGGAGCCCGGTTCCTGCCCCCAAGAAGAGGGGGGCCTGCGATGCTCAGGCACCTCCAGGCCTCCGGGGAGGGGCAGGCGGGGGCAGCCCCGGGGGGGGCATGGGCGCTGGGCCTGCGTCTGCAGAGCCACCCGCCGGGGAGGGGGCAGGCGGGCCAGATGCCTCCTGGACCCTGGGCTGCCCAGGCTGCCTTCGTGGAGAGGCAGACTGACAAGGGTTCCTTTTCCTTCTTTTTAAATATATTTTTATTGGCTTCCGAGAGGAAGGGGAGGGAGAGAGGGAGAGAAACATCCACGATGAGGGAGAATCACGGACCGGCTGCCTCCTGCACGCCCCCCACTGGGGATCACATGTCTTGACCGGGATTCGAACCGTGACCTCCTGGTTCGTAGGCCGATGCTCCACCACGGAGCCATGCTGGCCAGGCTGGGGTTCGTCTCCCCGGGGGGCACCCCGGCCAGGCCGCAGGCTGCACCCAGGGGTCCGGGCGGCTTCCTGGGGGAGGGGGGAGGGCAAACCCGGGTGCCGGCTGCCCCGGGAGCCAGAGGCCCCGACACCATGTGTGGGCAGGGCAGGCTCCACCGGGCGAGGGCCCAGCACGGCAGGAGGCCCTGTCCAGGGGACGTCTGGGCAGACGGACGGACAGACGGCCACCCCGCCAGCCTCCCCCGGCTGCCACCCCTGCCTTAGGCCCCGGTGGGCTGGCACTGCAGGCCCCTGGCAGGGAGGAGCGGGCGGGCGGGCACCGTGCTGCCTCCCACCTGTGCCTCCGCAGGACTGCCTGCAGGGCGTCCGGCGCTTCCTGAGGACACACGGACACGTCGCCGCCACCCTGGCCGGCGTGGGCCTGGTCACCATGGTACCGGATCGCCCTCTGCCCTCTCCCCCCCACCCCTGCCCCCAGGGAAGGGCAGGGCGGACCCCAAGCAGGTGGCCTGGGGTGGAGGTCCCGCCTCGCTCCCTCCTTAGATGGGGGGGGCCCTGAGGGACCGGGGAGGGGGCCCTCCCGAGCTGCTGGCCCAGGCGCCGCCCTCCCAGGTGTACGCCATGCTGCTCAGCTCCTTCCTCTGGTTCGCCATCCGCGCCGGCCGCTGCCTGGACCGCAGGGGGACGTACGCGCTGAGGCCCCGGTAGGCACAGGGCCCCTTCCTGCTCCGCCCCCCCCCCCCCCCATGGCCCCCAGAGCCGACACAGACGGGCCCAGGCTGTGTTGTTCTGTGGAAGAGCCACACTCAGGGGGCCAGAGAGCCGCATGTGGCTCGCGAGCCGTAGTTTGCCGACCTCGGGCCTGGAAGACCCCGGCCCCACGGGGGCGGCGAGGGGGGGCGTGGGGGAAGGTGCCAGACCCACGTGCAGCCACTCCACGGCGGCAGGGCTGAGGGCACAGGGACCCCTCCCCCTGTGGTCCCCAGCTGCACCCAGACGGACCTCACCGCGCCGTCCCCCAGCCCCTGTGACCCCGGGCAATGCCCCCCCCCCCCCCCCCCCGCGGGGAGCAGGGAGGACCGGGCCCGGCAGCCAGGCAGCCCTCTCGGCTGGCAGCGGCCCTGCCGGCCACGTCCTCCACTCACCCGCCCCGTCCCTCCTGGCCACGGGGTCCCCTCGCCGCCCGCACCTCGCCTGCCCCGGGCCCCACAGCTCCTGGCCCTCTCCTCTCAGAGCCCACGGCCGCCGGCCCCCGGAGCCCGGCTCCTTCAGACGCTCTGCTCGGAGCCCCGCCCTCCACCACCTGGACCACCTTCGGGGCCCAGGCCCCTCGGGGGACCCCCGGCTGCTCCAGGACAACTGACGCTGCGTCTCAGCGGCCGCCCAGCCGCCCCGTCCCCTCGCCGAGCTGTGAGCCTGCCCTCCACCCAGGCCCCTCGGCTGATCTGTGATTCTCTCATCATCGGTGTTACTGTCTCTCCCTCTCCCTTCCTCTCTGACGTCAATAAAAACATTTTTTAAAAATCCTGTAAAAGTGTATGTGGCAGCAGGAAAAGACATTTTGGCGGAAGCTATGGGCTGCTCCTCCCGGGCACAGCTCCCAGGTCACGTTCTCGACGCCCCCCCCCCCCCTCCCGGTGGCGGGACCCCATCGTCGCTGCAGAGGGAGCCGAAGCAGGAAGACCTCCATCTCCCTGGCCCGGGCCTCCACCAGCCTTCACGGCCAGGGGCGCAGGCTGGCGCTGAGGGATCCGGAGAAAAGGAAGTCACTTGGCTTTCCGAAGGCGGTACCAGCGCGTCCCCCGAGGCAGAAGGTGCCGGAGGCTCAGCGAGGCGGCGCTGGGCCTTCGGAGGGGAGATGCTGGCGAGGACAGGGCTCCGCCCGGCTGCTTCCAGTTAGAGCATTTCAGTGAGACCACCTGTGTGGTCCCTCATATTTTTATATTTTTAAATTGATTTTTATGTCGTTTCTTTAGAGAGCCAGGAAGGGCAGGGATAAAGAGATGGAAATGTTGATTAGAGGGAGCCAGCCATCGGCGGCCTCCTGCACGCCCCCTGCTGGGGATCGAGCTGCAACCCGGGCCTGGGCCCGACCGGGCGTCAAGCTGGGACCTCCTGGTGCGGATGGCCGCTCCCCCTGAGCCGGCCGGCCCATGTGGTCACCTCAGTCTGCATGTGCAAGGCCTCCCGGGAGCTTGTCAGGCTCCATATGTGGCCCCTTCCTGTCTGTGTGTGTGTGTGCGTGTGTGGTTAGAACATGGCACCCTGGCTACCCTACCACTGGTCGGCAAACTCCTTGGTCCACAGAGCCGAATATCAACAGCACGACTGACATCTCTTTGGAGAGCCACATTTTTTAAACTTAAACGTCTAACGCCACTTCTTCAACCCAGACGCGCCCAGGCCATGGTGTTTTGTGGAAGAGCCACACGCAAAGGGCCAAAGAGCTGCCTGTGGCTCTTGAGTCGCGGTTTGCCGACCACGGCTCTAACCTGTTCCGGGTCACACACCTCCTGGCTCCTGGGAGCCAGAGCACAGAGCGACTCCCCGAGGCTCAGGGAGAGGCCGGGGGAGCCGTCCCCGCAGGGCGAGGACGGAGGTGGGATTTGGAAAAATTTGCTCTGCCGGTGCTGCCCTCTCAGAGCTCCCAGGCAGGAGAAACGGCAGTTACCGTGAAGGAGGCTCTCTCCTGTCCTCGGCCGCACCCCACTGAGCGGAGGGAAGCTGGCGGCCAGGGCTGGGGCGTCCAGGTCTACCCCCGGGAAAGGAATGATTTAAAAAAAAAAAGTTTTACTGATTTCAGAGAGGAAGGTTGTGGGTATGACTGCCCGAGTTTGGGCTCCGGGTGTGAGTGTCCCCCTCACCCCCACCCCCGCATGGCTCAGGTTCAGGTTCAGGGTTCGGGGCCCGGAGGAGGCCGCACACCATGGAAGAGACTAGAAAATATTAATTTGGAAATATTGGGGGCCAGGCGGGAGCCCGACTCAAGGGGAAGGACTCCACCAGCTCTGGCCTTGCTCTCCCTTTTATTAAGACTATAGCGTGTGCCTGACTGGTTTGGCTCAGAGGATAGAGCGTCAGCCTGCGGACGGAGGGGTCCCAGGTTCGATTCCGGTCAAGGGCACGTACCTTGGTTGCGGGCACATCCCCAGTGTGGGGTGTGCAGGAGGCAGCTGGTTGATGTTTCTCTCCCATCGATGTTTCTGGCTCTCTGTCACTCTCCCTCCATCTCTGCAGAAAAACAATAAAGTATATTAAAAAAAAAAAAAAAAAAAAAAGACTATGGGATCCACCATAGCTCTACGCAGGCAATTCCAGTAACAGCCAATCAGCAAGGATTTACAGGAGACCGAAAGGTGCTTCAGCTGCCATTGTCTCCACTAGACAGGGGCTGCTTGGCTCTGGCCTTTCAGAGCCTCAAGATGGACCAGCCTCCGGGCTCTCTGCCAGTGAGGACAGTGGCAGCTTCCGACAGAAGGGAGAGGGAGAGAGAGACACGCATCAGTGAGGAGAGAGAATCACGGACCGGCTGCCTCCTGCACACCCCCCACTGGGGATGGAGCCCAACCCGGGCCTGTGCCTGACGGAATGGAGCCGTGACCTCTTGGTTCCTAGGTCGACACTCAGCCCCTGGGCCAGGCCGGCCGGGTGACAGCAATGATGTAAACCTCGCTCCACAGGAGAAGCCCAGCGTGTGGCGCAGGACCTGGCAGCGCGCTCCAGGCCCCGTCCCGGCACCGTGTCCCTGGTGCTGGAGCTGGAACGAAGCCCCCAGGCGAGAACCCTTTAAAAAGGGGCGCCTGCCTGGCGGTGCGGCTCAGTGGCTAGAGCGTCGCCCTGCGCCCCGAAAGGCCGCCGGTCGATGCCGGTCAGGGCCCACGCCCGCCCGGGTGGCGGGTTCCGGCCCCCGTTGGGATGTGTATGGGAGGCAACCGATCAATGTTTCTCTCTCACATTGATGTGTGTCTTTCTCTCCCCCGTCCCCTCCTCTCTCTCTCTAGAATCAATTTATTAAAAATAAAATGGGGCCGAAACCAGTTTGGCTCAGTGGATGGAGCGTTGGCCTGTGGACTGAGAGGTCCCGGGTTCGATTCCAGTCAGGGGCACGTATCTTGGTTGCGGGCACATCCCCGGTGGGGGGGTGTGTGGGAGGCAGCTGATCGATTTCTCTCTTATCAATGTTTCTAACTCTCTCTCTCTCCCCTCCTCTCTAAAGAACCAATAAAACGTATTTAAAAAAATAAAATAAAAGGGGGCGGTGTTTATAATTCCACGTAGAAGCCCCTGAAGTCCCCCTCCCCCCCTTTCCGTAGAGGAACCCAGAGGAACAAGAGGGAGCTGTTAGCAGACCTGGGACTATAAATAGCCGGTTAATCCATTCCTCCTGAGGACCCAATCCGCCCTGCTTAGGGCCCTTCCTGGGACCACGTGTTTCTCCCTAATGGGCTTACGCAGCGTGAGCTGGCGTCGGGCAGAAGGACAGCCCAGGCCTCCTTGCTTTCACCTGGGAAGATTACAAATTGGCTTCTCTCCGTCCGTCAACAATATACAGAGAGTCCCGCCTACTGCCTCAGCCCCGTGGTCGGCACACCGCGGCTCGCGAGCCACATGCGGCTCTCTGGCCCCTGGAGTGTGGCTCTTCCACAAAACACCACGGCCTGGGCGAGTCTATGTTGAAGACGTGGCGGTAGAAAACGTTTAAGTTTAAAAAATGTGGCTCTCCAAAGAAATTTCAATCGTTGTGCTGTTGATGTTTGGCTCCGTGGACTGAGGAGATTGCCGACCCCTGCCTTAGACCAAGCGCTTCAAACTCCAAGGCTGGCACGGGCCAAATAAACCAGGTTAAGCGTATGTGGCCGCAAAAAAGAGAAAAGCTTCGATCTTTATAGAAACGTGGGTTTATTTCGACAGAGACACGCTGAAGGCAAAGGGCTGAAGTAATGAGACATCGTTAACATAAAATAATAGAACACCGTAATAAACATTAACGGTTTTTCTTGAACATTCACTTACCAGACGCCGAGTAACTGCACAAATGAATGAGCGTAACGCAAATAAACCTATTTTCCTCGTTTTCCTCGTTCTCTAAAAGAGAAATATTTCCTGTTGCTCACATCAGTCTAAGGCTAAGGACGTGGCCGTCGGCTGCTAAATATTCGCTGACAGTATCGCTGGGGAGAAATGGTGTGCCTGCCTGTACGGTGTGTAAGGGAAATGAATGCCACATAAGTATAGGTATCAGCCATTAGCGAATGCTGTAGATTGTTATTAATTATGCATAACAAGATGTTGTCAACATCGAGTTCAAAATCTCTATTAAAACATTTCTTACCTTCCCTAACTGGTTTGGCTCAGTGGATAGAGCATCGGCCTGCGGACTTAAGGGTCCGGGTTCGATTCCGGTCGGGGGCATGTGCCTTGGTTGTAGGCACATCCCCAGTGGGGGGCGTGCAGGAGGCAGCAGATCGATGTTTCTCTCTCATCGATGTTTCTAATTCTCTATCCCTCTCCCTAAAACAAAACAAAACAAACAAAAAAAACAAACAATAAAATATAGTAAAAAACAAACAGAAACAAACAAAAAAACAGCGTTTCTTACAGACGGTTATATTGGCCGAGCCGAGAAAACACTCGTGGTGGCTGCATGTGGCCTGCAAGCCGAGAGTCTGATGTGCTTGCCTTGGACACTAACCACTGCTCTCAACGATGCCAAATCCCCCAGACATTCCGCTCTCACCCCACACGTGAGCGGCGTAGTTTTAAGCTCTGGAAAACATTAGACTCCCAAAAGCACACCATGTGCCTCCCACCACAGCTAGCTATCAAGGGACACACAGCAAAGGATCAACCCCTTTGATAAGAACCCAGGACTCCTCCTCTCTCTGGTAACAGGACGTCTGAAATCAAGATTTTTCAAAAATCTCTTTATTATCTTATTTTATTTTAAAAATATATTTTATTGATTTTTTACAGAGGAGAAGGGAGAGGGACAGAGAGTTAGAAACATTGATGAGGGAGCATCATCGATCAGCTGCCTCTTGCACACCCCCCACTGGGGATGTGCCCGCAACCAAGGTACCTGTCCTTGACCGGAATCGAACCCGGGACCTTTCAATCCACAGACCCAGGCTCTATCCACTGAGCCAAACCGGTTTCGGCTAAAATCAAGACTTTTAAGCAAAAAGGGGTTTATGGTGTGCGGTCATGCCGTAGGGCCTAGCCCCGAGTCAGCAAACTCCTTAGTCAGCAGAGCCAAATACCAACGGCACAACGATGGACATTTCTTCAGAGAGCCACATTTTTAAACTTAAACTTCGGCAAATGCTACTGCTTCAACATGCACTCGCCCGGGCCGCGGTGTTT